ATCGCGAGACAGCTGAGAGCTGGCTGACCGTGTGAAGTTAGCCGCGGCCCTGACGCTGAGGGTGACTCCATTGCGCAGCCGATACAGGTGTATGTTCTTCTGAATGTACTCGCAAAACATCGTCCTGTCGGCTGCAGCAATCCACCAAAGCAAGCACAACACGGCAGCCAGTCAAAGAATGAGATGAGATGAGATCAGGCGACACATCTGCTCCTCGCCTCTCACCTGAGGGGCCACCTGCCGCCATGAGTTTGTTCTTGTCAATGGTGATGATCTTGTCCTCATCATCCTGATATGCACCAACACAACCACGCAGCAGAGATGCACACGCGACGGCTTCACTCTGTGCGTGTCTGTGCCGCGTGTGGCGGACCTTGAGGCGCAGCACGGAGAATTCTGCGTGTCCATCGGTGGCCAGCAGGACGAAGTCCTTGCCGCGCAGCCCCAGCGCCGAGTCCATCACTCAGCCACAGCACAATTATCAGTTGAAAGGCGGGAAAGAGAGAACTCTTTCTGCCGGCTGGTCGCTCTCCGTCGGCGCGTGTGCGTGGCGGGATGGGGAGAGATCTGATTTCAAGAAAAGCTCGCAAATATGCGAGCTCTGGGGAGCTGTGGGGGCCGTCATTCCGAGACGGAAATGGTGCCGATGAAGGTGAATGTCATCTCACCATACACACACTCACGCAAACCATGACGTGAACTCATCGCTCTGCAAAGGTCAACAAGAAATCGAGCTGTTCCGGTCCACAATGGCTGGCTGGTCGAGTGCTTTGAGCCTTGATGAGGATCCACTAGAGGCCAATCGAAGAACCTCTGCACCCAGACAGGCGCATCTCGGCGTCAGACCGCCATCCGGCCAGCCGAAAAGTGAAAAAAGTCCAAAGTGAGCGGATTTCACGCGATCTGACCTCATCTGCGGCAGCAGCAATCCTCTCTCCCTCTCTCTGCCTCTAATGGCCTCCTGTCGTCCGCAGAAAACGAAATTCAAATCCGGCGAGATTTTTGCGAGCTGAGACGGAGACAAAGAAGATTTACGAGACGGCGGGCCATTTTTCACATTTTCCGTCCCAGTTCGGCTTTGCAGCCTTGTTTCGGCCACATCTCCTCCGTTTCTTGTCCTTTTCGGCTGGTTGCTGGCTTGTGTTGTCCGCCGCATCTCCCTCTACCCCACCCAACTCGTCCGGATGTCGTGCGCCACTTTTTTCCTCCACCGCCGTGCCCCGGGCGAGGCCTCGGCTGGTGGCGCCCTGCCTTCTGCTGAGCGGCTGGCGACTCCCTGGCGCCTGCAGAGTGCGCACGCGCCTTCGTTTCGCCCAAACCGACCTGCACCAGGTGAGTACATACGAGTGTGGCCTCGTGTGTCATGTCTCTTGGGTGGTTATGGTGTGGTGTGTGGATTATGTGTAGGGATGAATGCATGGTACATTCCGTTGCCATGGGTGTGCTCAGATGCCTCCCCTTGTCATGTCTGTGTGTGCAGATGGGCTGGTGGTTTATTCTTCTCATTCCTGTCTCATTTTCTCCACGCATTTCTGTGAAGGTTGGTGAGGTGGGTGACTGCCCCATTGAGCCTGGTGTTGACGCGCACGTCAGATTCCCTGTCTGCTGCTTTTCAGAAAGGCGATCCTTTGGTCCGACGAAAAAAAGCGAGAAAAAGAGACAGTTTTACATATTCACCTAATCATATTTGTGTCTTGCAGCCGGCCGAGAAGTTTTCCCAGCGACGACAACCTCCTGACCAACAAGAAAGCATGCGCATGGAAGCCATAAAGGTAGTCGCGTATTCAGAAACGCTCACTGATTTCTTCAGCAGAAAACCGAGCTGCATCTTCAGACAAAAGCGGAGCTTCTGAGTAGACCAGTCGCCTCATTTGCGCCGCCACCAAGGGCTCTTCATATCGTGACGAACACTCGACATCTATCCCTTTTGCCTTCTCTTTCAGCTCAGGGAAAGAAGTCTGGCGGCAGCGTTGCCCTCAAGCATTATCCTGAAGACCACTCAGGTACGTAAGTAAGGGAGAAAAAAGAGGAAAGAGTATTTGCTCATGTCTCTTCTGTGTTTCCTCTCTTTCTATACTTGGCCGCTTCGGCGGCCATCGATCAGCCCAAGCTGCAGCACCGACTGGTAACCCCCGAATATGACATCCATCCATACATGTGCAGACCCTTCTGGGTGGCTGGCTGGATCCTGCAGCTGGCTGCAGGATCCAGCGAGCGTGCTCCTGCATGGAGCTGCTGAAGACACGTGGCTCGTCGAGGAGCGAGCGGCCGCTCGCACGCACGCACGGACGGACGCATACACACACGACAGCCCGGTACTGACTGAATGAATGCAGGGCGCGTGAGCATTGAGAGGACTGTGAGGAAACTGTATCAGATTCTGAAGGGCCTGGTACACATGCACGGCTTGAACGGTGAGGAAGGGAGTCATCCATCCCTCGTACACACCCGCACATGTATGTGTGTGTGCGTCCCGTCGGGCATCTCGACCTCAAGAAGGAAAACATATTCCTTACGGCTGACGGCACTGTCTTTATAGGGGACTTCGGTACGCGCAGATTTGATCCTCACACACACACACACACACACGCGGGATAGGCTTCCTTGGCTATACACGGGTGTGATCGTGTCTCCCTGCTGCCTGCACGGAGTAGTCAAGGTAAGCAAGTGGAGCGATCGGCAGGGTGTTGGGGTGGAAGGATGAGCATGCTGCGCCTGCCCGTCTGCTTGTTTGTCTGCAGGTGTATCATCGTGACCTCACCGCGAGGAATGTGATGGTGACGGAGGGGTGCTGGGTCATGCTTACGGGTTTTGTCCTCTGCACGTCCATCGAGAACCCGCAGTCGATCCTCCGTGATGGCATCGTCCTGATGGGCACACCCTGCTACAAAGTGGGTCGGACAAACCGGTCTGAGAGATCTGTGTTCGCTATGTATGCCTCTGCCCTCGTGCGTGTGTGTGTGTGTACATGCGTTCAGGCTCCCGAGCTCTACGACGGCCAATTCGACGCCAGATCGGACCTCTTTGCCTGCGGAAGTCATAGCGTAGGGGCGGCACACACAGCGAGCGAATGGAGAAACAAGGCTGGCCACACGTGTGTGCGCGTCGCTCTTTGTTGCAGTTGGCGCCTGATGACAGGTGAGTGGCCCTTCGCCGTGCCCGAGAGGAGGCAGGGCGAGAGCAAGGAGGAGCAGCCAGGTACGGCACATCGACGACACAAACAAACCACACACATGAATGCACCTTGCCTCCATGTGTTGGTTGGCTGATTGGTTGGTTGGTTGCTGCAGGACGTCACCGTGACGCCGGAGATGGAGCGGCGCTTCCCAGGCGTGTCGTCGCTGGTGCCGCTGCTGTTGGCCAAAGACCCCGCCAGTAGGACACAATCAGGTCAGTCAGTCTGTCATCAGGTCACGCCAAATCCAACCGTCGGCGACGCCCATTTGTGTGTGATAATGGATACCATGCAGCACGGCACGCCCCTCTCAACTGCTGGTCTTAAAAGAGAAGGGTCGTCAACGACCCTGGAGATCACGTCCCGTACCTGAGATTGAGAAAGAGAGATGCAGTCGGGGACCGGGAGCACCGAGATGATGGCATACCCAATGCTGGTCCATGCCAAGTTTTGGCAATGGGGTCCGTATAGGCGCGCCGAGAAGAGAAGGGTCGTCAACGACAGTAAGCCACCTATTCTGTTGGTTCTCCTGCACCCCACAGCACACTGAGTGAGGCAGACAAGTACACACACGAGCAGACAGAAAGGCATGCAGCACAAGAAGTGATATTTCACGTGCGTCTTTTTTCCGCTTCAATGCGTCCCCGTCTGTGTCGCTGATGGCATTGCAGTCATCGGCCAGTCCCACTTGGGCCAGTCCGACCTCCAGGAGCTCCTCGATGATATCATTGACATCATCGAGGACAGAGACCGGGCGCAATGTAGGCCTTAACTTACAACACAAATGGAGGGACCCGAGCTCATGCATGGCTTTCCTCTCGACCTGTACGTCTGTGTGTGCAGACGAACTGCTGGAGGAGCGGGGGCTCTCGCGGGTCCGGCGGCGCGCCGAGATGAACCAGCGCCTCGCCAAGGTCAGTGAGTGGAGGGCACCTGCATGTGCCCTCCGGGCGGCGTCCCCGACAGATTCCGTCCCTTCCTGTCGGTCTGTGTGTCTGCAGGAGGCGGCACATACGCAGGTAGCCGAGCTGCAGCGCCAAGTGGATGAGTTGCGAGCGGGTACATCAGGCAGTCGGGCGGGCGGTATTCCGCCACGCCGAGGATGGCACAAATGTAATGTATGTGTGTACTCTGTGGGTGTCCTCTGCATGTGTCCGTGACTTTGCAGGCTGAGCGTGAGAGTCACGGGCCAGCCGGCTGGCGGTGCCAGTGTCCCACTGGGGGGGAGGGGAGGATGGCTTCTATACCAGCTCCCTGACCCGGTGGGACCTGGCCTATTGGGAGAAGAAGGGGGCCTGGTGGGTCGTCACGTGGGAAATGCCAGAGAAGCGCAGGGTCGTCAGCAACAGTAAGCCACCTGTTCTGTTGGTTCTCCTTCACCATACAGACCGACGATTTCGATTCCTATGGTTTCGAATGCGCTTTCCAGGGCAGGGCAGAAAGGGTAACCGGGGGATCGCCAGCGAAGGAAAAAGAGAGAAGAAGAAGAGGCGGGGGATGAGCGCCATCACCCCTGCCGAGTGGGCGGCCGGAGGCCCCCAGCTGCTCGCCAGGATAGCGGAGATTGCTCGTCAGAACATCGCGGAGGAGCGTCGGCTTGCGGCAGGTGGGCGAGAACAACAACACTGCCATGCACACATCAGAGAGGCGCAGAAATGCAGATAGGTAGCTGGGTAGCTCTCATTGCACGCAATGACATGGGCCTTCGACGAGCCCTGCGACGAGCGAACAAACCTTGATGACCACGATGCATGCCTGCCTCCGTTCTGTGTGTGTGTGTGTGTGTGTGTGTTGCAGAGCTGGCCACCTATGATAGCGTCAGCCTGCTGCAGCTGTATAGGGAGAGGGAGCACTTCCATGGTCAGAACGAATGTGTTAACACGTCGCGCATGCGATTGATCCACACACACATCTGTCCGTCTGTGTGGGCTTTGTGGCCTGCAGCCGAGTACGTGAAGTGGAAGGAGCAGTACCACCTTGACTCTCAGCGCATCGACCAGCTCGCTAAGACCCTGGACATCGCCAAGTCCAATCAGGTGGGCTACGTTTCGGACAGCGGAGGCGTCGACGGCCCCAAGGGCACACCTGCTCATCTGCTCATCTGCCTGCTTGTGGGTGGCTGTACGATGCCTGTGCGCAGGAGAAACTCATCAAGGGCGTCACTGCGGCCAGGGTCAGCGGCTGAATCACAGAATGCACACACACACAGAGAGAGAGAGGCGGGGGGGAGCCCGTGACCTATGTGTGATTCATCTCGCTTATTCTGTCTGTCTGTGTCTGTGTCTGCGCCTTCAGGGCCACAGAAGCAGACCAAAGAGGTCAAGAACGAGAACGCGGCACTGAGGGCCAAGTTGGCCGACCTCGAGGAGCAGGTACATTAATTATGTCACATCAACGTATCGACACCACAGCCAGCCAGCCAGCCAGCCCCACACCAAAGAATCCTCACATCCATCCATCCATCTGTAATATAACAGCACAGATCGGCATCCTTCCTTTGTTGTCTGTTTGTTTATGCATGCACTTATGTGTTGTTTCCCTCCCAGCTGCTGGCCAGGTCGACGGCCTCTGGCAGCCCCGCAAGCCCCTCGTGCTCGCCCGCTGCCTCGCCGCCCCCTCCCTCCCCCTGTCCCTCTCCCTCGGCCTGTCCCCCTCAGTTGGCCCCCATCGAAGCCCACAAGGGCGTCCAGGCCAGCCCTGTGACTTCAGATGCTGCCGTCGACCATGAGCCCGCATCGCTCGGCGCCATGGCAACCCAGACGGAGCTGGTGTCCAAGGACCAGGGCGTGGCCACCGTCGAGGTGCACATACGGGAGCGCGGGGTCGACACACGAGGCCTGCTGACGAAGGCCACCAAACATGCACGGCCACTCAACAACAGCGGTGTGCAGGTTGAGAGGTTCAGGACTACATCTCTGTGCGTCCTTGTTTGTCGTTCATTCAGCAGCAGGAGGTGTTTCGGAGGCGGTTTATTATCGCTGCTTACATTTTATATAGTGAAGTCTCTTCGGCAATCAGCTACAGACAGGTGAGCTCAAGATAGGCCGTATCCATCCATCCATCCATCGCCTCAGATCGACGAATGATCCTCCTTCTCTCTATGGACTGACTGTGTGGTCATCAGGTTCTCAGTTGCTGGCACAGTCGTCGAGGCGCAGCACGGCTGCACCAGCGCCAAGTATGTTTCACGCGTCCTCGTGCATCAACCCGACCATTCCCGACCATCCGCCGGTGACCAACATCAACCCCACACCGGCCTGCAGTTCCATCTTCAGTAAGGGAGGGAGGGTGGCTCTATCTGCCAGTCAGACCACAGCCACACATGGATGGATGGATGGATGTGTGTGTGTTATCGGTCGGTGTGCCGCAGGTTGGTCCACCTTTGTTTGACGTGCCAGCGTCGCGACATGAACGACTGCCACCTCAAGGCACAGCTCAAAAAGTGAGACAGAAAGAAACAGATGCACAGGGGGGTGAGGTGAGCACACGTGGACGCCCGCCGGACGATTATATCGATCGATTATTCGTTCGTTCTGTCTTGGCAGCTACTCAGAGCACATTCGCCACCTCGAGAGTGAGATTCACCTCCTCAATACCAAAATCGACCTGTAAGTCAGAGGTCAAGCAGAACTGTGTGCGTTGCGAGCGCAACAAGATGTGTGTGGCACGACTCGATGAGGATATCGAAGCGTAAGCGTCCGAAAAGGAACAAAGGCAAGCAACTGAGAGCACCTGGACGTCACGGACGGTTGTCTCGTTTTGTCTTGGTTTGAAGCCTCCAAGCCTCCGTCGACATCCTTCATTAAGGCCGATTCAAGTGGGACTGAACGAAGCCATATCGGACACCCATGAGCGCCGCATTCATTTTGTTGTGTGCAGCGTGCGTGTCAAATCATTGGCCTCCGCACTGATAATGGTCGAGACCCACATAGCCGGTGGGTAGACCATCCATTTCTTGCGCTTCCATGGTTCACACACACCTGTGTGTGTATGTCCGTCCGCGTGTGTGTGTGAGCTCAGAGTTTGATGAGCTATTCGCCCCCAGTGACGACCTCCTGCGGACCGTATCAGAGCTCCGCGCCAGCATCGATGAGGCGAAAGACGACATCCTCGAGTACTGCAGCCTCAACAACGATCCCTGTCCGACTCTGAAGGAGGCGCTCCACAACGTCAAGTGTAGGCTCATTCACCACACACACGCCCCAAACAATGTGTCCGCATGTGTCTGTGTGTGTTTCTGTCTCCGTGTGTGTGGCAGTTGTGGCCAAAGATCATCGCCTGAGAATCACTACCACTCAGCATTGTCGGTGGTGGTTTTCAATGACCACAGAGGGGCTGCCTGCAGACGTCATATGTGTGTGATGGTGCGTTGATGCGTGTGCAGCGGATGGCTTTGTAGTTTTGGAGGCGCGGCATTCCGACGGGTTTGTGAAGTCTGCCCTGGACTACTTCAACGCGTTCAGCTCCGCTTGCCACAAGGTAAGAAATCTCAAACACAGACCACACACACACGCAACACTTGTCCATCTGTGCACCTCAGGCAAGGCAGCAGCTACCCATGTGAGCAGCTGGCCGACAGAGGAATGGCACACGCACATCTCAACTCTCACCTGTCCCACTGTCGTGCCTGTCCTGGCTGGGTGTGTATAGACTCATCACCAAGATCAAAGAGGTGGAGGGGCCGGCGACCGAGAAGGCCAAGGAGTTTAACAACAGCAAAAACATCACGACATTCGATACTGACAATCAGGTGGGTGAGCACCCACACACAGACACACGGATGGATGGATGGATGGATCGATGGCAGACACGTGCGACCGCGTGTGTGTGTCTATGTGGGTGTGTGGTGCAGGTGTGCGCCGTATGGGCCAACATATTCAGCATCAAGAAGCTGCTGACACTCGCGGCTGACACACTCCAGAAGGCCGCCGCGGGGACCCAAGAGCTCACGGTGAGCGCTACATATCTCTTGTTCCACGACACACATGACACACTCTGTCTGTGTGTGGGGCGGGGCGTACGTGTGTGTCAGGTGTGTATCCAGGAGGTACTATAGACGTAGATATTGACGTGCGGCTGTTTAAATCAGGCGCCCATATACCGACCGGCGGGGAGCTACGACGGTCAGACAGACACCAAACAGTCAGTAGACATGACTTGGCATGACCCACACGCTCATTCTGTGTTAAATACTGTGTATCGTGTATCGTGTGTTTGTGGCAGCTCGAGCTTTTGGGAGTCGTTGGGTCTTTTTACACATCGCTGGCTACATTTTATATCCCGACGTCAGTGGAAACGCAAAGACACGCCCTGTCTTCGTCATTATGTACTGGCCACCAAAAGTCACCAACATGTAAGCCAACGAGGAGAGGAGGGATACAAGGGGAGGTGGCGGCAATTGCTCTGCATGTGTGTCGCCCAGCTCAGCTTGAGGCACATGCAGCGCTTCTCCGTGACCAGGACAGCAAGGAGGAGGTGAGCACACGAACGAATGTGTGTACACCTTTCCACTTTGTGTGTGTTCGATGGGTGCAGATCAAGGTGGCCATTCCCGAAGGCGACACACAAACGACCACACAGGGAAGTGACGAAAGGAGAAAGGCCAATGCGCGTTAGCGTGTCTTGTGCTGCGTAGGGAAAGGTGGTCACGAAGCCGCTGACGTTGAGGGGCCAATGAGGGCCGCCACTTCGACCCGCACGAGGACCCAATCACTCTCAGACACGCCAATCTCTATGTGTCTATGTGCGTGTGCAGGAAGTTCGTCAGGAGAAGAGCGAGATTCGCCAGCTAATCGATCGACAACATCAATGGCCAAGTCGACACCATCACAACGGTATGTACCAACCCACACAAGTCACAAAAGTTTGTCACCATGGTGTGTATGGGCCTACACGTGTGCAGGAGGGCTGTAAGGATACGCATGCACATGCCATCAGTGTCTCTCTCTCTCTGTGTGTGTATGTGTATGTGTGTGTGTGTGTGTGTCCTCCATCCATCCATTGCAGTTAGTTGATCGAGCGGCACCTGAGAAACAAGACGTACATGGTCGATGTATGTGTACCCCCCGTCGATGACCGTCGTTGACCTGGCCATCTACGCTTCTCTTCGGCGGTGGATGGTGAGACATCGAAAGCAAGCGTGCACTCCCACACACATCCACATGATCCACATATAGCTTTTTCTCCGTGTGTGATGTCTGTCGGTGCAGTCATCTGTGTCTGTGCAGTCACTGCGGACGTACCCCCACGTCATCCGGCACGTCAAGCACATTCACGAGGTCGCCAAGGCCCGAGGGATGACCATGGACACCATGGCGTAGACGAGTACCACAGGTAAAAGAAGTCCACGTCTACGCACCTTCTGTTTTGTCTATGATCGATTGGTTGCAGCTGTGCTGTGCTGTGCTGTGCTGTACTGTGCTGTGCGGCTGGCCGTCTCCCGACTCACACATCGTTCGCCACCATACCCAATGCAGGTGCAGCATCAGCATCAGCAGCAGCACCCGTTTTTGCCCCCCTCCCACCCCTCCATGCCTTTGCACCACCCCGCCCACAAGGCACAGACGACGGAGCAGCAGCAGCCCAATCAGCGCACATGGCGCAGTCAGCAGCCGCAGCCATCAGCATGCCGCCCCGATATCGCCGGCTTGTACCGCACCAAGGCCGAGAAGAAGGGATGGCTCGAGAGGCTCCGCTGCGCCGTGAAGGACCTCTACGCCAGCCTGACGTGCCCCCCCCCCC